AATGCAGTCACAAAGAAGAAATCCAAAAAAATATAGGCCTTAGTCAAGATCTATAAATCTAAAAAATCGTTGATGCACTATACAAAAATAATCGCTCTGTGCATGTTTCAAAACAGCTCGTAAAGTCACAAGTAGTGAAGGTGGAGGGTGAGTAATAAATAAAGAAACCGCGCAATGCGTAACTTGCATAAACCTTAGATCTTAACTGGGATGAGTTAAATGTGGTATGGGGTAGTGAAATGAAAATAAGTATTTTAAGTAAGTCAATGTTAAAGTAATAAATAGTTTTATTTAAACTATTAAAAACATAAAAATAGCTGTGTGTATTTTGATTATAAAACGGCAAGTTTATTTAATGCGGCGGTCACTAAACAAGACTTTAGATTTTGCAAGACTATAGTCATTTAAGTACATCTGATGTTCGCATCGAAAATTTTAAATTTTTTATCAAACAAATTAATATTTCAATAGATAGTTTTTGTTTGTTGTTAACCAAACAACAGTGCATCGATGTACTTGTTTTGACTTTTGGTGATGAAATGCTATCATCGTTCGCCGATGAACATTGAGAAGATCGTCCAATAACGCTTTGTACATCAGAAAGCATCGACGCTATGCGCAGGGCGATAATAGAAGATCGTCATGTGGCATATAGTGAAACTAGGGCGACCCAGGCATTCACGCTCCTACCATTCATACAATAATCCATGAACATTTGACCGTTAGACAAACGATGCAAAAATACTAGCCTGACATGTCAAGGAAGTTAAACCACATCGTAACAGGTTACATAACTTGGATATACAGTGTCGGCCACTTGCGTAGCGCCCCGTTTTGATCGTTAGTATTGACAGTTTTCCTTTCGTTTATTTAATATTCATTTATTTTTTATAAAAATTTAACATACATACATGTATTCTATAACAAAAACTACATATGTTAAATCGATTTTCGGACAGTATTTCATTTCATTTATTAAATGTATAAGCATAAGTACAATAAGATATAATCTTTTACAATACAACGAATTTCTGATTTAAATACAGAGAAAGAGAAAAAAAAATACAGTATATAAAATTACAGGAAAACCAAATAAAATAAGCAATGTCCATACATACATACATCCGCAAACTTAAGAATAAAAACAAGGACAAATAAATAAACTAGCATTTTAATAATAATCCCTAACACTAGGGCCCTGTCTCCAAAGGAAAACACTGATGTCGCGATAACCATGTCACAAAATATATTTCCAGCCATATTTTCATTTAAAAGAAAACGTGCTGGTGGTAACATCGATGAAATTTTGATATTAAATCAAAATAGGAATCTATTCCCTACTGGATTATTTACGTTTAGGAAATTACGTTGCGTTTTAGGAAATTATTCAGCAAGTTTTTTTGTAAGTTTTAAATTTTTTTTTTTTTTGTATTTAAGTTACTCCAATTTAAATGTCTTTAAAGACCGAAATTGAGAGAATTTTGTCTGGTGGCGACATGCGGCAAATGCTTATATCAAGACATCAAAGTGCCAACACAAAAAAAAATTGCAATCATATTGCTCGTCAAAATGACTGTTGGTAGGCCATCGGTGTTTGCCTGTGGAATTTGCGGTCACAATACAAACTTTACAAAATTTATAATAATTCAATAAATTTTCATCAATATTCAAATATCAAATAGTTTTGTAGCCCAATAATTTTTATTATAACAAGCTGCAAGCTTAACACCTTGAACAAGAGTTTGAAATTTTTATGAATTGAATATTTGTTGAATTATTATAAATTTTGTATAAACTTTGAAAATGGATTTATGTTAATATATCGTTTTTGTTATAGAACATGTTCTATTTTTATAAAAAATTAATAAATATTAAATTAACAAAAGCGAAACTGTCAATACTGAGTATCAAGAGGGGCGCTATTCAAGTGACCGGCGCTGTTTGTACAAAATCATATGCGTTGTATTGAGCTAATAAAAGGAAAAAACAAAAGTTCGCGCGAGAAGGACTTCGAGACAAATGGTCGCTTGTTTCTTTGTAATAACGGCAGTGCTGCCAACTTTTCATTTTCAAAAAGCACCAAAAACTTTGAAAAAAAGCGTTTTACCAAACTAAAAGCACCAAATTTTTTTTTGCTTTTTTCGTAACATTTTGTATTTAACAAAACCACAAAAATTAAAATTATTCAACCAACTACTATCAAGTGCAGCTGATTTGCCGCTATTTAAACTCGAGAGCGTGGTTGTTGTTGTCAATTCTATACATCCATTTGCTTATTTGCTTTTTTGTATAGTTTCAGGCAGGCTCTTCCTAAACTATGTATTTGTCAATGTTATTGTGGCTTGTTAACATTTTATTTTTAATATTTTTATTGAGCTTTGTACCACGATTGTTTATTAGGAAAAAGAATTAGCAACAAGAGTTTACGGGATGTACATAGCTCAGTGGTTAACGCTTCTGACTTTGAACATCGATTACGCAGGTTCGATCCCTGCTGCAGTCTAGAAAAAAGAAGTTTGATGAGGAGATGTGGTGATCGCCGAAATAGCTGCTATAACTTCTACCGCTTAGACTTGGTTGCTTTTTCAATTTTTCCTAATAAACAATCGTGGTACAAAGCTCAATAAAAATATTAAAAATAAAGTGTTAATAAGCCACAATAACATTGACAAAAGACAGAATTTATTACCAAAGAAGGCTTCGGTGCCTCTTGATCGGTCTGGTTTTTCATGTAAATCCCAATCGGATAAAAAAATTTTAAGTTTGGGGAAATATTTGTAATTTTTGAAACAATATCTTTACCAAAAACTTTCAAAAGCTCGAATGAGATCTGTCATAATTATAACTGTTTTATTAGGTCCATTCCTTATCTTTTCTCACTAAAATCTGAAAAGTGTTAAAATGCTCTCGCACGAGGCGATTTTTCAGGCAACTTTTGCGTTCAACTCACGCAGGGTTACACGAAAAAAATTTAATGGCTAAAAATATCAAAATATAAAAAAATATTAAAATATTCGCCATAAAAAGGCGAAAAAAGGTTTGCATTGTTCAACTTTGCATTCTACTTTTGGTTGAACGGCCTTTCAACTAATCGCTTTCAACAAAGTTGGTCGCCAGCCAACATTTAGCCATTCAACTTTCTTTTGGTGCAACCCTGCGTGAGTTGAACGCAAAATCGCCTCGTGCGAACACCTTTTAACAAAATGCGCTCACTAAAAGGGAATAACAGGAAAAAGTAAAGGGACACAAAAAACCAAATTTTTAGTCCAAAGAATGGAACAACAAAACTAACGTCAAATAAGAATAGAAATGTATGCACAAAACACATTCACACAAGCGCAAGCACAATAAAAACTTATACATATATCATTAAATTTTTGCCTCCTTCCATTTTCACTTCACCTTTTTTAGTTCTTAGATTATTCTCACTTTTCGTGTATTCTTTAATTTCCGTTAATTTGAATTCAATTGAGTTTGACACTTTTCATGATTTTGCCAGCAAAAATTCTTCTGACTAAATCTGACTACTTGGGACTGAATAGAGTCACTCTCACTGCGTGTTGCTCTCTCACTTTTGCTGTAATTTTCGGGTTAAGAAACGCTTTTTGGACTAAATCTGACTACTTCGGACTATTTCTGACTATTTCTGGGAGATAAGGAACGCAATTATTAGCGCTTTCAAACTTTACGTTGAAATTCAATAATAAATATCCGTAAAAACCATTAATTTTGCAAATCTTATATATTAGGCTTATACGCCTATCGCTATTTTTGTGACTACGACCATTATATTACAACCACAACATCACAAAGCTTGCACTGGAACTCAAGAATCGAATGTCTTTTGTGGATTTTGTTGATCACTGTCTGTTTTTTGGCACTTCTGAGCTATAATGTTGGGTGTTTGTTGCGTGCCATCAATGGCACGCGTGCCTTTGGTTCGCCAGCCCTGATCTAAGCCCTTATTTGATGACCCTCATATCATATGACATATGTAGATGTTATTGATAGAATTATAAAATTCTTATATCAGACTTAATAAATATTAAAGTTAATTAAAGTTAATTTGTCTAAAGCTTTTCATGCGTAGACGAGACCGTCCTTTGCTGCTCACGAATGTGTTTAAATTGTTTTTTTAAGCCGAAGTTCGGCTTGCAGATTCGATTCATTTTGACTTTCTTCATTCATTCCGTTCTCGCTTTCCACTGAACTACCATCGATTTTATTAGCTGCTTCAACAGCCGCACTCTGTAGTTTCAACCCATTTTGACCTGCGGATGTAATATCTTCGTCCACGTTTTGCTCGATAAATACGCACTCGGGATTAACTGCTGCACATTCCGTAAACGAATGCGCTTGGTCATTTTCATTTCTTGCGTTCAGATATTTTTCGAAAAATCCACGACCTACAATACGGAAAGCCATGTTGCTGAGTGGATTCAAACGGGAACGGAACTCCATTTCACAAATAAAGCGTCGGCGACAAGCTTGTGAATCCAAGCCCAAAAACTCAAACATTAATTCTGCAATCCTAACAATAAAATAAATTTCAATCTAGGATTTTAACTTCAGAACTAAAATGTGTTAATGTACCTTTCCTCCATTTTCATTGGTCGCTCTGTTTGTTGCCGCTGCTGTGACGTATTTATCTGTTGACGCACACTTCGTCGCCCAAGTCGATGTGTACCTGGCCCTGTTGACGGTACCACTTCTGCAGTAGCAGTTATATCTTCTGAATACGAACCGGCGTAGCCAGAGTAAGGATCAACTGAATCTGAACTACTAAAGGAGTGATCGAAGTGGGGCGAATGGTCGAGAGAATATGGTACATGATCGTGAGCAAATGATGGACTAAGAAATTAACAAAGAAAAAACAATTAAATCAAAATGCAATACATAATTGGTTTTTATTTAATAAATAAATTCACTTACGGCGGGTGGTCGTACACAATAGTGGGTGAGTCGTGTACAATCCCAGTAGAACATTTATTTGGCCAGACATACCGTAGGGCGACGAATACTGCGCTGCCGACGAAGAAGCCCACTACGACTAGTTTTACTTTGACCCAATAGGCGATAGCCAGAGCATGCCAACCCCAGAGGTACCCTAAAAATTAAAAATAGAGCATAATGGTTATGTGATCAGTATTCATGTGTACGTAAAGCTGCGAGAAATAAAATAGTAGCAAAATTTAAAATGGTATTGTTTGGAACTTTTGCTTATCTATTTATTTTTAATAATTTTCATTAAAAATAAAAGTTTCCAAGCTTGCAGAGAGTGCACTAAACTTCAAAAAGTTTTCCATGGGCTTTGATTTGGCTAAAATTTTGCATACAGCCTAATTTCATACTATAACTGACAGAAATGGACTTAACAAAATTGCTTTCTTAAAAATTATTGGCGTGGCATATATCGATAAAACTGCCAAGTTGGATGAAAAAAATCCTTATAAGACCATTATTCCTTGCTATGATTACAAAAATTTGGTATCATTGCAGTGATAATGAATCATATCTCGATGTTTTTGCAAAAGCGCCCATCGACCAATTTTCGGCACTGAAATTTTACAGGAGAACGAAAAAACGATTTTTTGAAGGCATTTCCTTGATAGACGGTATTTTGTCTAGCCATTATTTTACAAATCTGTTGTTTTAATAACGATTTTGCGAGGCACTCTGAAATTGTGCACACGCAATAATGCATATGAAAAAAAACCGAAATAATGCATACATGCACAGTTTCGGTTCAAAACCGAAATAGATCATATGACAAAAGCCGAAGTAATGCATATGACCCAAATCGCCGAAAACGAAACCAAGGGAAAAAATATTTTTTCTCAGGTTTCGCAGATTTTTTATTATATATGGATCATCCATATTCTTAGGTATCGGACAACATAAATACTAACACGAATTTCCTTCTCTCAAACATGAAAATTCACTTAATCCTGAGACACCTGTAAAATAACGAAAATTAACCTAAAGGGTAGTATTTACTTGCTTCTCTTTGCTTGTCTTGTATTACTTTGAAGTTAATAAAAAAAAGAATTCGACAAAAAAATCAGCGATTAGTTTTCGATATGAAAATAAAGTCGGCAGTATTTTTTAATGTAATGTAACAGTCTGAAATATTAAAAAGTTTTTTTGCGCGGAATCCACCAGGCTAAAAAAGGGAAAATCTAGTTTTCTTCGAGCATGTTCGGCCTTCTTTCACAATAAAATAAAATAGTTCCCTGTACTCTTCATAATCTTGGGTGGAAAGCTATTTGTAACGTACAGTCTTTTTTACTAATTGAATTTTCAGGTAACATTTTTTCTTATTTAGTTAAAGGTAGGGCTCAGTTTACAAGCAACT